ATGGGCGCAGCTTGAGACCATACTCATAAGTGAAACAAATCAATCTCACATGTGTGAATACCAAATAGTTTCCCTAATGTAAGTAATGATTCAAATATATAAAAGTATGTGGTAATCATGAATCCCCATTATGTGGCCTTGAATCCTTATAAAGTTTTCACTTATTAATTGGAATGGCTTTATTCTGGCCTGCTTGATATTATTGCCTGTGATGAAATGAACAGCTATATTGAAGAAAATAAGTCATCATAATAGCTAGTGCTGATTTACTATCATCATGTTTTTAAGCCCCACTGAACTATGGCTCTTCTGTCTCCATTGGTTTTATCATGATGTATCTTGCTGGATATTATTATAGGTGATAGTATAAAAAATTGTTATAGGCAAAGAGATAATATAGAAATCACTGTTTGTTTTCTGTTAGCTGGTTCTAAATATCCTACAATGCTTTCATCCACTTGAATGGTTTTATACTGACTTGATATATTTGAAGCTATAGTATATAAAGTTATACTCAAATAGTTCAAGGAAAAAGACACTATGGTAACCACTATTAAGTCGGGTTATTTCGTGGTGAAGTACTAGGTTGCTGAAACTGTCATGCTTTGACCTGTGTTGTAATGTTGTTATGTCCTCTTTTATCTCAATCTCTCCCTTATTCATTAAAAAAATTATTTAGTTATTTTTTAAATTAAGGGGAAAAATAAAAAAATTAGCAGGATATATTATAGTACCTTTTTTGATTTCCTATTAACTTGATTTGAAGTCCTGTAGTACTCCCACTACCTTGTTTTGACTGAGTAGACTCTGTTTCGTTCTGTATGATAGTATCAAGTTTGAGGGTATAGGCAACTACTTTGAAGGCAATAAGATTCACTATGATGCCCATTCTGGTTTGACTATTATCTCCTTTGGAAGTCCTGTAATGTTTACAAGGTTTAGGTTTTATTGGTCTTGTTCTCTACTGTTTTGTTGAACTTTATAATACCTAGTGAGATAGACAATTCTTTTTTTTTTTTTTTTTGTCTTTTTCTTTTTTATCGGTACAAGGGATTGAACTCACAACTGCCTGCTTGCAAGGCAGGTGCTTTATGCCACTGAGCTAAATCCCCAGCCCTGAGGTAGACAATTCTTTTTAAGGAAGCAAGAGGCATTATGGTAACCATTGTTGATAACCTTGTACTCTGTTTTTACATCATGTGCTATGTCTATCCTTGGTTTTGACTGACGGCTTTGTTTTGCCATATTTGACTTTATTCTCTTCCAAAAAAAGAAAAAAGTAATAAGAACTAAGGAGTAATAAAACCCAAAATGTGTAAATTGTGTTGTAAAAAAGAGAGGGAAAAAAAGTGCTCTAAAGGATACAACTGCAAGTGTGTTTAGGGGTGTTAAACAGATGACCATATTAATGTTTTTCGTTGGATCATTGAACACAACTATTTGCAGTCTCACTGTTTGAATGTCCACTTTGTATGGTTTGATACTGTGACTTGAGCAACTATCTCTAAGATGATAATGTGTAATCTATTAACTGGAGATTTCTTACTGTTTTTTTTTTTTTTTTTGTAGTTCTGGATTACTTGTACCCTTACACTGCTTTGTTTTGTTTTGTTTTTTCTCTTTTTCCTTTTAAATAAAATTTTTTTAAAAGACCTAATCTTAAAATCTTTTGCAAAGTAAAAAAAAAAAAAAAAAAAAAAAAAAAAAAAAAAAACTACTAACAAACTGAAGAGTTGTGGGGGATTAAAAACCGGCGGTCAATTTAACACCAGCAGAGCTGAATCAGCATGGTCCTGAGTGGGGACCCACCTGAGGATTGTTGCCAACATAAAACAAGAACTAGAGAAGTTAGTGTTGTTTGGTGCTGTGGTTCTCCTGTTGCCCGGGGTTCTCCTGGAGGAGCTTGCGGAGCTTCTTTCCTGACATGAACACGGCTGCTCTCATCATCAGGGGAGCTCGGGAACTTGTTGTTGCTTAGAGTGACTGTGGCTCACTTTGGGGGAGCTCTAGTCCTTTGAATATTGCTTCCTGGCTCCAGAGGGGAAGGTATGAGGTGTTCAGTCTCCAGGAGAAGTTTGTCACACTGGGTACCTAATATGAAGTCGACTGTTCTCATTAGAGGAGAAGTCAACCTACAGACTAGAAAACATTTTTTGACAAAATTTTAATATCTATAATATATACAGCATTCACAAAAATCAGAAACCCCTACAAATTTAAAGACTCGATCCAAAAATAAGCATCTGAAGTGAATAAACACTTCTCAGATAAAGAAGAAGAAATGGCAAATAAATGTATGGAAAAGTGTTCAACATAATGGGTCATTCAAGAGATGCAATTCAAAGCAATGTGGAGACTCCATATCTCGCCAGGAAGAATGCCTGTTATGAAGAAATCAGTAAGCCAGGCACAGTGGCACACACCTATACTTCTAGCACAAGGAGGCTGAGGCAGGAGTCACTGCAAATTCAAGACCAGACTGGGATAAAAAAGTGGGCTCAAGGAAAGCTTTAACTGCGTAGTGACAACCTGTCTCAAAAAGACACACACACAAAAAAGAAATTAGCAAATAATGAGTGCTGACGAGGCTGTCAGTAAAAGGAACCCTTCTCCACTGTTGTAAGAATGTCTACTGGTGCAACCAATGCAGAAATCAGTATGAGGATTCCTCAAAACACTGAAATGTGTATTTTCATGTCACTTCATTTTTGATAGCACACACTGTAATGCAGATCAAAATCTCTGTGCATATGCTCAGTGGTTTCCTTAATATCTGACTAGATTTTAGCTTCACTGAGGGAAGGAATGTGTCAGTTTTATGCTTGCCTGCTTCTCAGGACTGAGAAGTTCCTAATAGACAAGCATGGAAATAATACGGTAACAGAAACAGAATCATTCACAAAACTGATAATATATTCATGGACTAAAGGCAGAGAGTTTCACACCAAAGTGTCAGTCATCTCAAGTTCAGTGAAACGTCTGAGGACACTGGGTGTGGGGCCGGGCTCTGTGGTTCCAGCACTGGGAGGCTGAGGCAGAAGGAGCACTGAGTTCCAGGGCAGACTGGGCTACACAGTGAGACCCTGACTCAAAAAATACTGACAACAATGAAGCATCAAGAATTCAGTGGTTGTGAGAGTTTAATGACCACAATATTAAAGGGCTAAATTAGAAACAACAGGAACAAAAACAGATCATCTGAAAATGTTCCTCTTCGTCTAGCTCATGTCACCAGGGCAGCCGACTGCCCACCTTTGCCCTGCTCACCTGTAAGCAGCTGTGACAAAGGCCAGGGACAGGAGGCTCCAGGCAAATGGGCGGCCTGCTGGGTCTGCAGTCCAGGCAGGGTGCTGCTTTCCTTCATCTAGCACGGAAAACAGAGATTTCCCTGCTTGATTAAAACACTGATAGTACTCCAAGGCAAAACCTTACTTTAGCTGTGCTGGGCATGTTGACTGTGAAGTGCTCCACAGCGGGTGAATCCACAGACCTGGGGGAGAGGAAACCCTGCTTGCCAAAATGGCCATTTTCCCCATTGTAACAGGAATTGTGCCCTTGTACCAGAACATAGCGGTCCCCAGCCAGGATGGTTCCCTTTCTTAGTTTCCCTGGTAATAGTTGCTGTCCAGTTCTGGTTGCTCCTAGGAATGGCTGCTCCCTATGATGCACAGCTGCTCACCATGATGCATACTGTAGGAAACAATCTGCAATGGACAAGCCTTTCTGCCTCTGCACTTCCCGCTTGCTTATCGTGCACAGGCCTTAGACCTCCAGATTTCAGGACCTCTACATTTGGGAATGATCCTGATCAGTGCCCATCAATGTAAAAAACTCTTGAGTCCCAGTCCTGAGTGTGGCTTCAGTGTTCCTATAAGCCCTTGTGATATAGGCCAACTGCTACAGTCGGAAGGAGTCAAGCAGCCCTTCAACTCAATCTGCTTGAAACAGGCCTTAGGATCCTAGCCTCTTTGGGCCACACAGGCATGCCACCTTCTGTTAGACCCAGGTGCAGGTAACAACCAGGGCAAGGCTGAGCCAGTTCACTGGCCACAAGGCAAGCACTGTTTTCAGGCAGAGTTTGGGGACTCTGTCACAGGCTCAAGTTTATGTCAGTCAGGCTGAGCTTGAATAACTAGCCCACTCCCTCAACAGTCCCTACAGAAAAGACAGGTGCAAAGGAATGGCTTCAGGACAGCAGGTCTTGTTCAGGGTGGCCTGGAACTCACTGGGTTACCCAGGCTGGCTTGGAACTCAAGGTGATCACCCTGCCTCAGCCCCCTGGCGTGATCCACCACACCAGGCTGTGTTTTGGAAGACTGAAGACTAGGTGAGCATTTTCATTCCTTCTACAAACTGGTTCCCATGTCATGCTTGTTGACAGAAGTGTGTAATCCCAGTGCTCTATTAGGCTGAGGCAAAAAAAATTCCAGTCCACCCTGGGCAGCAGCATGACTTAGTAAGACCAAAATGAAAAATGAAACATGGGGTGTAACTGCATGGGAAGACCTAGGTTCAGTTCCCAGGACAGAAAAAAATATGTATGTACATATATCTATATTGAGAGAGACAGAGACAGAGACAGAGACACACAGACTGAAGAGACACAGAGAGAGAGACAGAGAGAGAAAGAATATCTAGGTTCCAAGTACACCAGGAAAAAGACACACCCTGATTAAATAATCTGCTTTTGGTTGAGTGGGAATATAAATTGTAACTTCCTGAGAAACTATTTCTAAAATAAGCAAATAACTGTAAAATGCTCTTTTTCACACAGTCCACTGTCATTTTTATTTTGCTGTAAAGCAGACTCCAGCAGACAGCGTGGGGACCAAGACTAAAGTCCTGACTGAGGCCAGCTCTCCAGGCCACTCTGGGTCCCACACCAAGCTTCAGGCCAGCCTGACCTGCAGAGTGAGGCCTTCCTTGTGTTAAAGAAAAGAAAGCGGAAAGGACTGAGTTAATAAGAGGGTGAGAAAGAGGAGAAGGAGGAAAGGAAGAGAGGCCAGCGGCAGAGCAGGAGTCTAAGCTTTACTGGGTACTTGAGGCTTCCATTCTTTTTATCCTGGAGGTCACAAGGCTGCCAGGCCTGTTTTAGGTCAGCCGGGATGACAAAATTAAAAGTGTTCTGAATTAAGAAATCATAAGGTAAATATTCCTATAAAAAATAATAAGCTGAAAATTTAGAAAAAAGGGGGACCAGGGTGAAATGTAATTATGACATAGAAAGGAGACCAATGTGATGGCTTCCTTCATTCCAATTTGGAAAAGGATTTATTTTTTAATTTAATTTAATTTAATTGAGACAGCATCTCACTACATATTTCAGGCTAGCCTTAAACCCCCTTTGAAACACAGGATGGGAGAGAACCTGTGGCGATTTTCCTGCCTCAGCCTCTAGGGCTGCGATATAGGGTGGTGTCACTAATCCCTGCTTCTAAAAGAGGGATTATAATTTAAATTCCCTGATGATTTTATCCTCTGCCAGTTGGAATTAGTTTGTTGTTGATGGTTGAGTAGGTTACCTTTACTCTATTTTTATCGAGCACTGGGAAATATTTGAAACTCACCCTACAGTACTCTAATTCTTTTCAAATTGGTTTTTAATTCACTAAGGAGCTCAGGCTGGCCTGAAAACCATGTGGTCCTCCTGCCTCAATCTCCAACTGCTGGGATTACAGGCGTGGGCCACCACACCTAGCACTGATTCTCTTTCCTAAAACCCACGAACAGAAACAAAGCAACTGGCCAGGAGAAGCAAGAACTATTCCTGTGATTTCCACAACTTTCTAAGTGGAAGATCCACCTATCTTCTGGAGAGGTTAGCAGTTTGGGGAAACTGGTTATTTTTGTTTATGCTTTTCCTGTTCTAGGGAAAACTTGAAATCATCATAATAAGCTACATTCCCAAGCAAGTTTATTTATTTCATTTCATTTTGAGGCACAGTTTTGCTAAATTCACAAATTACTCAGTCTGGAGTGAATCTGTGATCAGCTGCCCAGGGTGAAGCATTACTGATCTGGGCCACCACAGCCACTGTGGGCAAACTTGCCTTTCTTTTTGTATGCTTTCCTTTCCTTTTTTCTTCTGCTTTTTTGTTTGTTTGCTAGTTTCTTTCTTTTCTTTTCTTTCCCTGGGTCTTCCTGCGTAATTCAGGCTGGTCTTAAACTCACTATTTAGCCAAGGCTGACTTCAATCTCAAAAAGGTCCTCCCGACTCAGCCTCCTAATTGCTGGGATTACAGGCCCCTAAACCCTGCTCAGGGAAGCTTCTTATACCGCAGAGGGAGCCCAGCTTCAGAAGCGGTTTGGAGTAAGCTTACTTCCTCTCAGTGTGTCTCTAGGAACCTGGGAGTTCTCTGTGCCAGGTAAGAACCCGCTGCAGGAGAAATTACGTTCTTTCGACGTCTTTCCCTCTAACACTTACCTATAATTCTGTTCTCCAAAATGTATACTTTTCCTAGGGAAAATAACTGATATTGATTGTTGTTTTGCAAGATTCTCATTTGCTGGCATGCTTCTGTTTGAATGGCAAATCTGTACTGATAATTATGTTTCTCTAACCAAGTCTCCATGTTTCTGGCTTGTGGAGTCTTTTCGATTTCACAAACTAAGTGGCATGTCCCGACTTGTGTTGAGGATCCTGTAAATATCTCAGCTCTCCCTGAGGACAACAGTGGTCATTTCCCTTGGGAGTGCTGGCATATTCTGGTGCAACAGAGAAGCAAAGAAGGGAAAGAGAGCACCTTTACTGAGGCTGCAGAGAGGAGGTGCAGCTCGGGGGCGGGGCTTCCTGCGCTGACCCCGCGGTGGGCGGGGCCGGGGCTGGGCCAGGGGTGGGGTCGGGGCGGGCCCTGGCGGTGAGCGGGACTGTGGGAACTTTTTCCTCCAGTGCATGCAGGGAAGGAAAGGAAAGAGGAAGCTGCAGTCAGGGTGACAGGGAGCCAGGAAGAGGTGATCATCAGGGTAAGTACCCTGTTTGCTTTGTCCTTCCGCCAGTTTACAGCACTGCCCTGTGGTCCAGTCGTTTATGCCAGGCCAGCAACCTTTTAGAATGTACTGTTTTCCTCCCCAGGACATCTATCAGTGCTTAGCAATAGTTTTTCCTCACATGTGGTAGTTACTACTGATATTTGTGACCAGAGACCAGAAATGCTGCTAACAAACCAAGAACACATAGAGCAGCCTTACTAAAATGAAAAAGAAATATCTATGAATTTAACACAATTCTGTTATTGAAAAAATTGACTAGATTAACAATAAATCATTAATAAAGGGCTTAGTAGGTAATTCGGGGTTGTTTTTTTTTTTCTTCATTTGTTATGTTTGGTTCCGTTTTGAGACAGGGTCTCCCTACATAGCCCTGGCTGGCTTGGAACTCCTAAGTGATCCTCCTGCCTCAGCCTCCTAAGTGCTGGGAGTAGATGTATGTGCTACCATACCTGGCCTCTGTCAGGCACTTACTAATCGTTTTCGTGCTGTGTAGGGATAGCTGATGGTGCTCCCAGAATATTTGGCTTCAGCCCAAAGGTGAGAAAGAATGAAACTAATTGCAGTTAAATCACAGTTCCAAGGTTCATTTAGGCAATATAAAAAAATGCGAAAGAGCTAAGAATGCAGTTTAGTAGAAATGCCCCTTTACAAACAGTGCCAAAGTGTTTTTAACAATGATTTTTACAATTAATACATATTTAGTAACATATGTGCTATTACTGTAGTAGTTTTTAAAAATTAACATTTCTGAATGCATATTTTACTTATACACTACCGTATCCTAATTTGATACGTATATAAAAGTGAAATGATAAATCAGGTAATTAGCATTTCCGTGTCCTCTAATATCATATACTTTGGATGTGTTGGGAATCTTCGCACACTTCTAGCCCTCTTGAAATGAGCAGTTAATCTCCTTAATCTTGAATGCATTTCTTTCCTCTTTGTCTCAGAATTTGTCAGTATGTAGCACTGATTTTTATTTTTCTCTTTTTTGTTGTCACCTTCCAGGGAACTGAGCCCAGGGCCTCTCCCCTGGGTGCCAGATCTACCCCTTGAATTCAGTTTTCAAGTGAAGTAAGTTCCTACTCAGTTGTTCAGGACAGACTAGACCCCCTACTCCTCTATCAGTTCTCTCTGAGTGTTGAGAGTTCTGTAGGTATTATTTTTTTTAAGATAATCATTCCCTTGAGTTAATCGAGATTTCAACAGCTTATGTTTTCTTTTGAATTTTTTGTTATTTCTTTCTCTTGTCTAAACTCCCTTCCTCCTCACTTTTATCAGCTTTCCTAGGTGAGACCTCAGATACAATATGGAAAGGAAGTGAGAAATAATTATTCAAAGTAATTTGAAATGTTCCCACCCCCACAATGCTTGATTTAATTACTCAGTCCTATTCATACAGGTTATTTTGTGTTCCATAAATATACTCGATTATAAATTGTCTCTAATGAAATATTCTAAAAGAATTTCTTAAAAGTTTTTTCAGAAATGGAACCAAAGACCTTGGCACTGACCTCCATGTCCAGCTCTTTAGTTTTTGTTTTGACACAGGCTCCCCTAAGTCCCTAAGCTCACCATGCTCAGCTTCAAATGTTGATCATGTCCTTGTGCAGCCATCTTCACCTAAAAATATGTTATCCACTTGCTGGTATTTTTTGTATTTCTGTTCTCATACTGCAGGTAGCCATGGGCAACAGGAATTAGCATTCCTCAAAATATTTCCATCATTTTTTGCCATTTCTCACAACTCTGCTTCCTTTTCTTGATTTTTCTCCTGTGTCTCTGACTTCAGCAGGTGTATCAGTCACAGATTAAGATCCACCCCACCCTTAGGATGATCATAAGTGTTCACCTTCAAATAATCGCACCTGCAAAAGACCCATTTTCCAAAGGTTACAAGAGCTGAAAACATAAGTTACTGTTACATCACCCATGTAACATGTGCAAGACCCTGGTTTCTATGGCCAGGACACAAATAAAATAATAAATAAACTAATTGATTAACTAAATTTTAGAGAAAAGCCCTGTAGCCCTGGGTAATGGAGTACACTAGCACATTTAGAATCCCACCTCTCTGCAAGGCTGAGGCAGGAGCATCACAAGTGGATTCCAGCACTGGCAATTTAGTGAATTAGTGAAACCGTTTCTCAAAATCAAAACTAAAAACGCCTAAGAATATAGCTGAGTGTGCTGGACTTGTGTTTAATCCCTAGTACCAGAAACGAAAACAAAACTACGACGAAACCAAACAGAGCCAAAGAGAGCTGCATCTGCAGGCACTAGTTCAGACATGGAATCAACTTCTTAAGAAACGGTAGAATTTTGTTCCAGAATCTAGAGGGTTCCTTTTTTCCTGGAGAGTGTGTGGGGCATCACTGAGAAAATACAAAGATGTCACCTCCACATACTGAGAGATAGTGTCAAAGCCAAGTTCCCTGTTTTCTAGTCATTGTTCAAGAAATACTTTAAGATTCTTTCCCACTTCTAGGTTTACTGCATTAAAGGCAGGCAAACTTTTCAGGATCTTAAAGCATATTTGCAAAATACCTTTCATGACCTCAGCACTTCGTTGGCATGTGAGGGTACCTGTTTCGTGGTGCCAGAAATATCAAATAGAATCAGCTCAGCACTTATCAATTTAATAGATTAGGAATTATAGTTGAGTTGCTTTACACAGGAACAAAACATCACTTCAGGAACATAAAGGATGATTACAGTAGTCAGTAGTAATGTACCGGTAAAAGTTTAATCAAATTTTCAATTGTAACTATACATGTCATGACAATATTGATTTCCTTAGCTTGTGTTGTAGGTTGTTAACTAGAATAATGTACAGCTAATACATAAATGTGTATTTGAGTAATGTGTTTTATGTATCTGGCTGTCGAGTCATATAGAAATAAGATATTTTTTGAAAAGTTTATTATCATTTCCAAAAAATTATGAAGTACCTTTCAAAAAAACAATTCCAGCAAGCAAGTTGTATTGAAATTTCCAGGTATTTAGACCCTCCCCAAATCTGAGATTTTTTTCAGTATACGTTTTTCTCCATTTCTATGTATGAACATAATTTTAAAAGTTTCCAAAACCAAGTTATATGAATTTAATCAAAGATTTTTAAATTTAGATTTTAATGCCTAATGATTTCTAAGTAAGTGTATTCAGCTAATTGCAGCTTGGTATATTATTTAGATATAAAACTCAGAAAGAGAAGAAGGACGTTTAAAAAAAATTTAACCTGGAGTTTTAGCTCATGGTGTAAGTGCCTTCCTGGGAAGTAGTGAGTTCAATTCCTGATACAAAAAATAAAAATTTTTTCAAACATATTTAGTAATACTGCTTATGTGCCAGTATTCCAATCACAGTATTTTTTGAGTGATTTCAGTTTGAAAAAATGGCTTTTAACAAGACCACTTGAATATTTCCCTGGTTAGTGCCTGTTTGATCTCATGAAACTTATAACTAAACATTTCAGGAGTTCCAAACCTTTCAGAATCTGCTTCAGTTTCTCCAAACAGTGCACAATAATCACTGGAATTTTGATCTTTATTGTAAAGACTGAAAGAAGCTGATGAGGGCAGAGGCGTTGAACTGGCCATGATGATAGAGAAGATGATAAATGATGTTAAGTAATTATGAAGAAACCACAAGGACTGCCAGGGAAGGGGAGGGGGTTTCTTTACATCCCATGGAAGCAAGTCAGCCATGAGGCTGAAAGGGTAGAATTAGGACCCTAGAAACTCCTCTGTCAAGGCTGAATGGCTGAGGGGTTAGGATTGTAGCTGGGTGGCAGAGCGCATGGTCAGGGTTCTCTTTACTCCAGCACCCCAAACAACAAAGACATCAGCAAAATGAGCCCTGGGAGTCAGGACTGCTGCAAGCATGGGATCCACAGAGCCCTGTGGATCTTGTGTCTAGAAGACCCCTCAAGCCTCATGAAGTCATGAGGGGAGGGGGCTTTTCAGTGGTTGGATGGAGGCCTGTGATGCTGGCAACAAGGACTCCATGCTGGGATTAAGGATGTGAGTGCTGCCTATGCAAAGGACCCATAGGCTGGATCAGGTGTAAGGGACAGGAGGAGGGTCATTGCTTAAGATTCGTAGCTGACCTCGGAATACCTCTTACCTGCTCCCTGATGCCCCTCTGCCAAGTCCTCCTGCCTTGGAGTAAGCTGATTATAAACAACCTCCACAAAGTGTGAACCAAAACAAACGTCTCCTGCTTCACTTTGGACGTTTGGTATTTTTCCTGAGCAATGAGAAAAGGTAGCTAAGACACTCCTCACAAGCAAACTTTGTTCTGTGCCCAGGGACCTCGAGTTGGCTGCACTTCCGTCACCTCACTTCCACTGCTGCTCTGAGCCCCTGGAAGACAGGAAACCCTCGAGCTGACTGCAGGGACTATCCTGCAACACACAGTTGACCGCAGGGACAGAATCGGCAGGTGAGTACTGGCATCTGCAGAGATGAACTCATACTTCTTGCCTCTGTTTGCCTAAATTCTGTGATCAGAAGACTTCAGACTTTCCAAAATACACGCAATAAGTGGCTTTAAGAAAACTCAGGGAATTATTTTCAGTTGACTCTTGAGCTATGGAATGTTTTCTCTACTATCTTTTTGAAATTTAGAACTTGATGTGTTATTTTCTTTTTTATGTTACTACTGTATCCAAATGTTGAACTCATGGAGGGGCATTTCTAGGTATCTGGCTTTTACTTTTGGCAGCATGAAACTCAAGCTTTTGTAGAAAGCAATGGAAAACTGCATAGAATGTGGAAGACTCTGTTTTCAGGAACTTTGAATGGCAGCTTTGGAGTTTCAAGTATCAGTACAAAACTCTGATGGCAATGGCGGTGACAAGGTGACCCTGGTGACTACAGTGCGGTACCAGAGAGGAGCATGTTTAATGCACCCGTTCTGGTCAGGACATGGATGTTTCAGCTAGGGTTGCTTCATTTGGAACCGCAGTGTATTGGACGGTACAGTTCTGATTTTAACTTCAGATGTACAGATTTCCAAGAGGGGCGCTTTGGATATTTAATCTCTGTAATTCAGACACATGGTGTTCCATGCCCATTTCGTAATGTCCATTTTACAAATTACTTTTTTAGTTAGAATGTAGCCAAATGCACTGAGATTTGATCATAAGTACAATTATAGAATGGTTATTACTCATATTTCTGTTTTTGCATAGAAATATTACTTTATCTGTTACTTGCACTGTTTGTATTTTCTTTTTTGTAGAGAAGTGGAGAAAGTTTTTTTGATTTTTCTGATCTTTAAATTAATTCAGAGAATTCTACCTTACCCATTTCAGTCTTCAAACTTGGACACGTTGTGAACATCTGTTTTTTTTTTCCTTTCTGTATTTGTTTCTCTCGCAGAGAGAGTATTGCCCTCTAGACCTCAGCCATGCCAGGAAAGACTGCTACACCCCTAGCTACATCCCCTGCCCCGCTGTGTTAGGTCCTTTGAGATGGGGTTATGATAAACTGCCAACACTGTCTTTACATTTCCAATCCTTCTGTCTTGGCCTCTGTACTACCTGGGGATACATGAGTGTCCCACCTACCTGGATCAATTTGCATTCATTGTGGAAACACGTTGCAAAATTTTGTCTCAGTCCTGAATTTTAATGACCAGGATACTATTATTTCCCTCTTCTGTCTCAAACAGGACTAATTATGCTTTCAGTGTCCAAAGGAGTTTGATGCATTCTGATATATTCTGTGACCCTGAATCATTCAGATCTAGAAGACAGGCATGTTGACACACACCTCTAATCCCAGACACAGGAGGCTGAGTCAGGAGGATTCTTGTCATTCCAACAACACCTGCCTGGGCCAAGTACTGAGTACAGTTCCTGCCTGAACTACACAGGGAGGCCCTGTCTAAAGAATAAATGGATACTATGGTCATGGTGACACAACCCTATAATACTAACTCTTGGGAGGCTGAAGTGGAGTATTATTGCAAGTTCAAGAGAGGCTGAACTGAACACTATGAGCCTTCTTTAAAAATAGAAAAGAATAAAAATTTTAATAAATAAATGGATAAAAAGGTGTTGGCCAAAAACACAGCTGAGAGATTTGGTGCGGAGCACTATAAAAATAACGAGGGCAACGAAAACTTCATTATTCTAACTAATGTTTTAATTTTCAAAGTCTGTAGCCTGTTTTAGTACTGAGAGTATTCACAGATACTTAAAACTAACCTTTCCTCGGGATTTTACCTTCCCTCCGTCTCTGGGAGTATGATGCTGTTTCTCCCTTTTACTTGTATTTACTTTTCTGGAGATCCCATGTGAAACTTCTCGAATTCCCCATATATTCAGGCAACGTCATGTTGTGTAGTTCATGTTTTATATACTGGTACATAACTTGGATTCTGTGAAGCTTAACCACAGATTTCCAGATCATCCTAAAGAGACCACTGAGAGTTCCGAGAACATGATGTGTGATCTCAGGAGCCATGTGCTAGTCTTATTTTGCTAGGACAGAATAAGCAGTTCGGGGAAAAGCACCATCTTCCCTGCCAGGACTCAATTTCTTCTGAGTGCCACACGGTTAGGAGAGAATTAACAGAAGAATGAAAAGTTTCATTCAGGTTAAGTATAAAGAAATGGAAGTCAAGCTGGGATTTAGCTTAGCAACACAAGCACTTTTCTGGCAAGTGGGAGGTTGTGAGTTCAATTCTCAGTAATAAAAACATTGAAAAACAATAACAAAAAGAGAGTGAAAAAAGAAAAGGGAGTCAAATAAAATTGTGAATGTTATAGTACTTGTAAAATTCTTACCCCTTGAAGAGAGAGGGTGTGTGGTAAAGTAGATGTCTTTTACACAGGCACACAGGGACCCGAAGCCTCCAAAGCAGGTATTTCCTACAGTCTTCCAATCTAAGACCTCAGGTGCACCATGCCAGGGATGTTCATAAGTTTGACTTTTTGTACACCCTGCTCCTCCTGTGCGCATTTAATTGTGGGTATCTGGATATGTGGACTTTGCTTTCAAAGTACCCAGAGTGAAAGTCCTTTTCCTTGTCATTATTGGGTGATTTGTTTTACTTTTTGTCCTTGGGGGCTTTGCATCATGTACACTTCATTTAGTTCTAATTAAGGTAGCACTTCTGAGCTTTGGCAACTTTCCAGGAGCGAGGCTCTGGGGAATTTCAATATCACAAATGCAAAGCATAAAATTCAAGTGTAGATTTTATGTTGGAAGTATGCCGATGTTGCAGTGGACAGTTCAGAATAAATCAATTGTACAAGGGACATAGCCTAAAGGAGATAGGATCCTTTTTTCCATTAATCCCAATCTTTCTCTTTCTCTGCAGAAACACAGATTTACACATAAAGCAGGACTTTCAGAAGTATATTTATTACCCACTGAATAAAGAATTTGAGCTTCTGTTGAGGTTTTCGCACCACTCAGTTCTTAATAGTATCAAAAACTCCAAGCAAAGATGGAATCACTTCAGAATCAAGGCCTCTGGTCCAAGAAAAGCATCCTGAGGTTATTGGATCGCATGCAGAACCATCTCCTGTCCAATGACAACCCAGTTTCACAAACAACCCCATCACATCTGGACTGGGAGAAAATAGCTTTCCAAAACTTCTCTGGAGAAATGTGCAAACTCAAATGGACAGAGATTTCTTCTAAGGTAGGGAACGTCCAGCCCCTGAAAGAATCGGTGCTGGCAGCCAGAGAACTTACTCTAAAGCACCGCAGACATCAGGAATACAAGAAATACCCAGACTTCCCCAAAAGGCCCTTGACTGCTTATATCCGATTTTACATGGAGCAGAGGACCTGCTACTCCCAAAAGCACCCTGAGCTCAATAATCAGGAGCTGACCAAGAACCTAGCTGAGAAGTATGGGCGGCTCCCACAGGAGATCAAGCAGAAATACATAGAGGCATACCGGAAGGACAAACGGGACTATGAAGAGAAACTGGTTCAATTCAGGAAAAAGCACCCTGATCCAGTTCAGAACTCCAAAACATTGGGTGGACCCCAGAGACTCCACCAAACCAGCGCTCCAAAGAAAATACAAGGAAATGTGGAAAGAGGGAGGTCTCTGTCCAAAACAGATGGATTCTGCAAGAAAGAGAAATTTCACACAGAGCCCAAGAAACCCCCCATGAATGGGTATCACAAATTTCACCAAGATTCCTGGTCCAGTGAGGAGCTGAGCCATTTGCCCCTGAGGGAGCGCCTGGTGGAGATTGGCAGGCGCTGGCAGAGGGTGCCCCAGAGCTTGAAAGAACAGTATAAGAAGCAGGCCGAGGAGCTCCAGCAACAGTACAGGCTGGATCTGGATCTCTGGCTCAGGACTTTGTCACCTGAGGAATATGCTGCATATAAAGAGAGAAGCTATGGTAAAGGGAAGATCATGACTGTGGCGGGAGCCCCACACCCCATTTTCGTAAAAGCAGACAGGCTGCGCTCACCAGCCAAGCCTCAGCCAGAAGGACTGGGAAAGGAGAATGGGCTGCAGGCTCTGTGGGGAGATCCCTCGGGTGCAATTCCAGTCAGCTCTCCTTGCTCCCAGGAATCAGAAAGGGAAATGAAGGCAGATGGGGAAGCGGATGAAGGCAGCCACTCCTGGCACTCCAGCGGTGGAGAGGAACACCACCACAGCAGCTCATCTTCTTTGGAGGAACCCGCGGCCATGGATATCATCTGACTTGTGAGGGAATCCCCACCAAAAGCCAGGACACCAGGTCAAGGCTGCAAACTCCTCCCAAAACGAAGCTTTCTTCCTTGTTTTCACCTCTCTCTACTGCTTCCCTCTCAGGTCAGAGGAGCACAGGTGGGAAGGTGGGAATAATTTCTCCACAGAATAGGAGCCAGGGAAGAAGTTGCTCCTCTGCAGAAATGAGTCTGTATTAGTGACGTTGCCTACATTATCCCCCAACACTGTGCCCAGTGTGTTCCTTATTGAAGACTGTCAGGGAGGACACACGTGATCAGGCTGTGGAAAGGTGGGCACAGCTGCCAAGAGTGAGTGTTTCTGAAGTTTTCCTCTGAATTTCAGTTGTCCCGTGGTGGTTCAGGGCTACGCAGGGGCTTGTGCCTTTTGCCCTCCTCTGTGGAGTTTTTCCTCAGGACTCTTGTACTCAACGTTGGTGAGGAGTCTTTAATGGGACACGGGTGGGTGATTTAAGAAAATCCACAAACTCCTAGCATCTCTCCTGACTCTGTGAAGCTAGCAGTTGGCCATCCCCTTCCTTGGGAGTGACCAGTTTTTGCAGTTGGCAGTTTTTCTGAAGGTACTCACCACTCTGTTTATCTCTTGGTTTGCAATGAGTCTTTTGTCCCTATCTTCAAAAATTGGAAAATAAAGTTTTTATACCTGCTTGTGCATTGTATTTGAATGGCTCTTGCATGCAATCAGTGGCTTTGAATTTGTGTCCTGCTTGCTCTTCAAGTGGTGCCTGAGATTATTTGGAACAAGACCTCCAAATGCTTCCTACTCTCCAGAGTCTATGAATCTCATCTTTATTCTTCAGTATAGATAAACCCATAGAAAGGTACAGGCATAGACAAGGTCTAGACTAATCAACTTGACTTCAATTTAGGCATCATTAGCACAGGCCTTAATTATTCTGGCTTACTGGTATTTTCAAAAATATATGGTCATCTCCCATGAGCCAGCAGAAACCAGGTGGGGCCTGGGAGAGAAAGAAGAAGCCATTTGGCCCTTGCTGTGGAAGGTGGAAGCTGTGCAGGGCCAGGGTGAAGGAACAGGAAGCCAATTCACCCCCTTCCTGTGAGCTGGTAGAAGCCATGTGGGACCCAGTAGCAGAAACAGGAAGCCAATGTATTTTGAGTATTTAATTTATTCTAAATATCAATTTTTATTTCTTATTGGAATCAGGGTTCAAACTCATGACACTGCACTTGCTAGGCAGGCACTTGTGCTGCTGAACTCAATTTACAGACCAAAGTTTCTCTTTTAAATATAACTTTAATTGACACAAATAAATAATAGTTGAACCTCTTAATGTGGGTAACGTGTTTCAGTACAAGTATGCTTTGTACGATGTTTAAATCAGGTTAACAATCTAGGTCCTCTAGCATTAATCTGTTTTGTTGAAAACTTTCCAAACCTTTTTTCCCCACACTTTTGAAATGGGCATTATGGTTTCTCCTAAACATATTCATGAAGCCTTTAGGTGCTTTTGTGTAGACATTTTCACTAAGCATTGACAGTATATAAAATTTTATCTCTAATTTCCCTTGCTTTGAAATGTATTTGGCCTTAACAATGACAAGTTTTAGAGGTTGTACAGTTTTCTTTTGCATGTGACTTTTAAGCTAAAGCTACAGGACTTTTAACAATGGAGATATATTGGACATGCTTTGAAGATAATTTGTGAAGTACAGTATTTAGAAAATGTCTCATTGCTTATATTCTGATCAGTGTTATTCCATATAGTTTCTTCATTTGTTAGATGTCTGTTACCATATGTTCATGTAATTTACCCCTAGAATGTCAGTTAGGGATCTCCTGAGAAATAGAACTCACACAGAAAATTTAGACTGAGATTCATATTAACGAAGTGGCTCTTATTATTATGAGGGCTGAAACCTCCCAACTTCCGTTGTCTGTACCTGGAGACCCTAGAAAACCATGGATACAACTATTCTCATCCGAAAATCTAAAGCAGTTTATTAAATTCCAGTCCAAGCTCAAAGGAAATAGAATGAGATGTCACACGGTGAACAATTAGGCAGAAAAAAGGCATCAGCTAGGCTCTCCTCAGGCTTTTTTCATTCACCCCACCTTCCTCAGTTCTTGAGGCTCACACATTTTGGGGAAAGAAATCCTCCATGCTGACTTTACTGATTTAAGTGGCCCCATAAGGTAACTATCACACTTGCAATATTTATCAGAGAAACTGGGTTAGTAGATTATCTGATATTAGTCCGTTTTCATTTTGTAGAATTAAACTCATATGTTTAGGCTGTGATAATAATAAACCCAGAAGTTATACAATTTATTCAATCATTCTTTTTTTGTTTGTTTTAAATAGATTCGTTTTGAATAGAGTTTGTTTGAATAGATTTGTATTCAAATCTTACATAAACAAGAAATTGGAAACAGAATCACATCAAAGAACAAATTGTCACGTTTGTTTGACATTTAACCCTAACAAATTTGTAGGGAAGATTTCAAAAAACCGTGAAGTTATAACAATTTAAAAACACAGTTAACCTACTTATAGGAATGCAAAAATACAGTCATAGATTATTTTAAATACAAGAAAACTTAAATTCGTTTTACTTTCCTAAAACTATTAAGACAACACTAGTTAGTAATTTTATTTACAGCATACTTTCATACTTCAATGTAATCTATTCCAAGTTCAAAAACAAAGAAACTGCCCAAATTAAAGTTTCTGTAAAATCACAATGTAATAAGTTGTTCTGAAGCTAAAATGAATTAATGATAAAAGCATCGTAACCCCCAAAATAAGAGAACTCTGCAAGCCGAATACTGTCCAAGAGCATTTATGAAAAGAACAAAAATAGATGAGTATATGCACAATAGTGATTTGTTCAGCCCAATACAAATGGCAGTAAATTGATACTTAAAGATGAAACAGTTAAGCCAGTTTTTTGAAGAATGTGGATCTAGAGCCAGTCATATCTTGACACTATCATTTGCAAGCCCTCACTTGTCTATTTCCACTATTGCCCATAAGAATGCTGGTAAAATTCCTGGTTGTCATTCTTGTAACCATATTTACCAGAAAGCCATCACCTTGCTGAAGCGGTTGCTGAGCGATGCGTTGGGAACCCCAGTTCTGTTGGTTGTTGGTCTGATGCCGCTTGGAATCAGGTTGGTTGAACCCATCTGCCTTTCTCTTGCCTCCTGTATTGTCTCCACGATTGCCCCAAGCTCCGTGGGAACCCCAGCCTGTCTGCTGTTGTGCAGGACCCTCTCTGCCACTCCTAGAGCCGCTTGGCGTTCCCACAGGTGCCCCCTTTGTGAATAGCCAGCCCTGCCTCTTGGTGGTGGTGCTCCATGCCCCCTTGGTGCTGGTGGAGCACCTCTCCCTCCCTTTTCCCCTCTCTTCTTACTGTATAGCCATCATCATGGCTGTAATAGAGATCTTTATAGCTTCTAAATAGTCCTCATAATCATAGCTACAGTAATCATCATGGTAATCCTCATAGCTATAGAAATGTGGGGGGTATCCATGTCACTTCTACCTCGCCCTCTAATTGGGGTGGCATTGGAGGAGGGAGGCAGCGGTAGTCTTCATACACAGTGCTTCTGGAGGCCTGTCTAGCAGCTTGGCACTCTCCTTTTCTTACCTAGTGGCTTAGGGAACGCTGTTTCAATTCCTTCCCCTTCTCTTTCCTTTCCATTGGTTTTACCGATTGCCTTAACAGCAGGTCCTCTGTCTTTGGAATGAACAAATGCATAGTCTTTCAACTTCTTTACTCTTTCCAGCTTTGCAAATTCAGAAAATGACTTTTCTAATATTTCTTCTATCTCCAGACCTAAGTTTCTTTTTTGAAATCTAGTTTTAACTGACACAAACATATAAAAGTTGAACCTCTTTGAGGTGGATTTGTGGGCAACAATCTAGCAATACAAGCAGCCAAATAGATAAACTTGAAATTTAATTAGCTGAGCTGAGGACCACTCATATACAGACCCCCCCTGTTTCAGAGTCCAAACAAGTCATCCCAAACTGGAAAATTACAGAGCTTTTAAAATAGAGAACTACAAAAAGATATTGTTGGAAACAGTTTAGCTAGAATCTTACATTAGTTTTTGGTTGATACCTTTCTCCTGCGTTTGTTGAGCAGGTTAACTTTTCTCCTTTGTGTACAGCTCATTCTGTTTTTTTTTTTTTTTTCATGGGACTTATACCCTAAGTAATTTTCCATTTTCCTGGGTTAAATGCAGGGCACTAGTTAAATGCACGGCTCAAGATGAAGTCAATTATGCCAAGCTATAACACTCTTAATGTGGTGACATATGTTTCAGTATAAGTATGCATTTTATGGTGTTTAAATCAAGTTAAGATTTGGGTCCTCTAGCATTAATCTATTTTGTTGAAAAATTTCCCAAGTTTTTTTTCAGTTTTGAAATGATGGTTTCTCCTAAACATATTCATGAGGCATTTACGCAATTTTTTGTACATAGACATTTTCACTAAATAATAGTAATATGTACAATATTACCTCTAATTAGTTTTTATTCAAAATGCATTGGACTACCCTCAAAAATGGCAATTTTTAAAGGTTGAATGATTTTTCCTTCTGACTTTCAAGTTAAGGCTGACAAGAATTTTAACTATGCGAGTATGCTGTACATGCATTTGAGATAATTTGTAGAATACACTACTTAGAAAATGTCTCTTTGCTTGTTACTCTGATAAGTTTTATTCTATTTAATTTCTTCATGGTTAAATATTTGTTATCATACATTCATGTAATTTTCCCCTAGAGTATTAGTCAGGTATCTCCTGAGAAATAAGACTTACATAAGACAATTTAGACAAAGTGATTTATGTTAAAGAATTGGCCTGCAGCAGGGCGTGGCTGGTCACACCTGTAATCCCAGCCCTTGGGAGGCTGAGGCAGAAAGATTGTTGGGAGTTCAAGGCCAGCCTGGGCTATAAAGTGAGTTTAAAGCCAGCCTGAACCACACAGTGAGACCTGTCTCAAAAACAAAAAAAAAAAAACCAAAAAGAATTGGCCCTCATAATTATGGGGACTAAAATCTCACAAGATCTATCTATAAGCTGGAGACCCTGAGACACCAAGGATACAATTCATTCTCCTTCAAAGATCCAAAAGAGTTAATGGTGCAAATCCCAGTCCAAGCCAAGGGAAATAGAATGAGAAGACCCACAGCAAATAATTAGCAGAAAAAAGGGGTCAACTCTGCTCTTCTCAGTCTATTTTCTCTGCATCCAACCCTCCTCAAAATGGAGAAAGAAATCCTTCATACTGACTTTGCTGATTCAAGCTGACTCATAAACTTGACTATCACACTTAGTGATATTTATCAGGGAAATTGGGTTAGTAGGTTGTCCAATATTAGTCCCTTTCCATTTTGTAGAAATAAACTCATCTATTTAGGCTGTAGTGATAATAAGCCCAGAAATTAGGCAATTTATTCAATCATTTTTATGCTAAGAATATTATATTAAGCAATGCTTCAGAATATGGTAAATTAACTTTGATTTCTCACATTTTATGATCTGGATTTAGATGCATTTTTTCACAGTAGTACAACCAAAGGAATATAAGAAATAAAAGACTGAATGTTTAACTACATTTCAAAGGCTTCTCTTATTCTGTTTCCTAGAACACTGGATGAAAAT